GGGGGGGGGTTTAATTTTTAGTTGTTTGAATCTTGAGAAAAAATTGTAAGTTACATGCTTTCTTAGACACAAAGTGCATGAGTACAGTGAAAAGAATGTAGTTCTTTGATAGCCTCTTGCTTTTCTTTTGTTTTTCAGTTTGTTTGGTGGTTTTTTGGAACTACTGGTCAACAAGTTTCTGCTATAATGAAAATAAAGTCTTTTGTTACTTTACTTCTCTCTGTATGTTGATGTTTTGGTGGCGTGATATCTGTTACACTTTTAGTGCTTCTGACACGTGTTCTATTGTTCCGTATGGATGTGCTTTTGTCAAAAATGAACAGCTGCTCATTTGGGTTTTTGTTACGATGCGTCATTCTTCACTCCCAAATACTTTCTTCTTTCTGTATGTCTTTTTAATTCTGAGTGGCCACACCAGTGGTTGCAGGCATAACTGATGGGACTTACTTCTTTTCTGCCGCCGTTTTGTTTCAATCTGTATGTATATTGCGGGTGCTCTGGTGTGTTTTACTCCTTCTTTCCTGTCAAACATCTATCTTCATTATATCTCTTCCTTTTTTTTTGGGTGTTTGTTACTCTTTTGTAATATCTCTAATCTTCAGCATTTATATGACATCATTGTATTGCAAGTATCGTAAAACTCTTACTTAAACAAACCATAACAGACCATCTTTGTGTCAGTGTGCTTCTCTGTACTCAAACAATAAAATGAAGATAATCTTTCCACAGGTTTCAACAGTAGACACATACTAACATAATGTCAGGACTTACGGAGAGACCTGAAGGAAATATTTTAAATGTACAAAATTGAAAGATCTCTTCTCCTTCATTGATCCCAATATAATTGTAGATTTTATGAAGGCCATTAGCCTTTACACAAAGATGTACATACTGATATTTTAATGTAATGTAAATTGTTATCTTTTATGATGGAAATTTTTACTGTAAAACTTTTAACCATCTAATCTGACCATTGACCTAAACCGAACGGGGCTGTGCGCCGTAAAACTCTCACTAAACTAAACTAAAAACTGATCTGTCCACAGGAGACGGGTGAGAGTGCCCTCCACTGTGCGGCCAGGGAGGGACTCCTGCACGTTGTCCAGACCTTGTGTTCTCTCGGGGCAGATGTGGATCAAGTCACAGAGGTGAGGGCTCATCACTGTCTGGTTCTCACTGTGGATAGTGGTTTGCTTTTAAAAATGTTGGGGGGGGGGGGGGTCTTTTTTTCATGTGGTGGAGAACGTTTTCGTTACATTTCACTTTAAATTTTAACAGTATACATGTAGAAGGTAAAAGTAAAATTAAGTGTGTTCCTGAGATTCTTAACCCTATCCGTACGTTGTGTTTTACTATCATATCTATACGATGTGGGGAACTCGGTGCCACCACTTTCCAAAGAGGAAATTTACTCGTTAATCCGATCCGTATGCTTTGCATAGCAGTCTGTCAAAATGATTTTTTGAGAAATACTGAAGTTTCAAAGAGATCTACACTCTAGAAGTGTTCTAGAATGTGAAGAATACAACCCCGGGGTGGGATTCTGTTCAGTCAATGTGGACGAAAATAAATGTTAATACTATTTTGTACATGTGTTATTGTATAATTCATGAGGATTGTTTGATATACCTGTTGTTCATGAAGGGAGCAAGCTATTTGTACTGAGAAGTTGTCTTTTTTGTGTCCTGTGAAAAGGAATATGACAATGGTAGTGTTGGAGGGCATCACAAGTACCTTTTTTCCTTGGAAGGCGTGGCGGGGGGTACTTTTAAAAATCCCTTCCAAATATCAGGTCTTGCATCTTTACTAAAACATTTTTTTTTTGTATGATGATTTGTGATGCACTTTTCGGTAACTCAAATTCTATCTCAAAGCATAACAAAAGAACAATTTTAAGAATAAGGAACAAATCTGTAAATGTTCAAGATCTTTTGGAATATGTGTCCTCAAAGTTAAGCTTTTGTGAAAGAATGGTTTTTTTAGTTTGACTTTTGACTGTTGGATTGATAAATTCTGATGTATGAAAGACCACAGTTTATTCATTTTTGTTTACTGGGCATACATATCCATGTTTAATTTCACACAGTCTGTGAAGTAATTGCTGACTGTTGCTCGTCTTTCTCCACAGGATGGCTTGACTCCTCTGCACCTGGCTTGTAAGTCAGGACACATAGAAATAGCTCGGAGCTTACTGTTTGTAGGGGCCAATCCAGATGCTGTGAATAAGGTATGAAGGATTTTTTGAGATCAGGTTTAGAGGTTTTTTAACAGACTTTGGGGAAGGGGGGGAGGTTGCAACAATCTCTTCATTTTCAGCCTTGTTATATATTTTTATTTCTCTGTCCAGCTCAGTTGTAGGTGCACTTTGGCTATTCCACTGTCTGTGATTTAATTGTTGCGTAGGGAATCTGAGAGTTCAATTCCCATGTGAGGAAGCTTATTCATAGAGTTTCTCCACCTGTCTGCTGGGATTTTGTCTCCCACATCAGGACAGGGTTGATCCTGACTGGCAGGGTAGAAACAGCACACCTCCTAAATGATCTAAGTTATGTGGATAAGAGCATGATATTTACAATTATTTATTCAGTCTTGGATATAGCAGGAAAGAAAAAGGGTTAGACGATATAATAAGTTATACTACTCTGAAAAAAATGTCTTACAAGTAACTGTTGATTATATGTTTGTAACTGCAGTGATTTGTTTTAAGATCTTGTAATGGTGACAACTGCAGTTATTTTGCTGTACATTTCTTGAGCTTATTTTATTTTTCGAATTGATGTTTACATTACATATATGTATTATGTTACAAATTGCTTAGTTCTTATTTCTTGTTTCTTATTCTTTCATGAACCATCTATTTTACTTGCTTTAAAAAAAAAAAATTTTTTAAATAATTTTTTAGTGACATGTGTTAATGCCAGGTGGTCCCTAAAACTGAGATTGTTGCTAAGTAAGTACAAACATGTGATGATGAAGAACAAATGTTATGTTCTCCCTAGGATGGAGTAACCGGTGAAATAATGGCTTTGGCTCAAGGGTACACAAACATCGCAGAGCTGTTGAACAGCGTCAAAGGGGTAAGTAATAAGGTTTGTTTCGATTTAGCAATCTTATGAAACTTTGAAGCTTTCAAATCGTAGGGCAGGAATTTTTCTTTATACAGACAGTAATCAACTGCATTTGTGAATTTTTGTATTGACCACATGTGGTGAGTTCAGTACATCATAGTGAAATACCCCTGTTATAAACGACACAAAGCATTGTATCAGTTAATGGAAATAATCAACAATTTGTTGATGGTTTGAGGTAGCCACTGGTAGGGCCCACTTCTTTACTTTCCATTTCTTGCTCTTTCTCAGCACCAAATGTGTTTCTGTGTGCTTCTGTTTCCTGAAACAACCAACGGGTGTTTTTTTCAGTGCATAAGGAAAAACTCAGGATATGAAGTGAATGTAATCATAATCTTTTAGTATTGAACTCAAGTTCTTTTTGTAAATTACTGACTTTTCAGTATGACTTTTAAAAAAATTAAAAAATATATTAGTTGACTGTCATTAAAATTTTAGTCTAATTTTTCTGGTCTGTATTTGTCAGGAGAAACGGCTTGCCCTGATCAGTCAGCTCAAACTGTCGCCACAGCCGATACCTCGGGTCAAGTTGAAGCTGCTGGGCTCCACAGGGGTGGGGAAGTCCACGCTGGTGGAGTCTCTCAAGTGTGGCTTTCTGGGGAGTTTCTTCCGGAGACGAACCCACGCTCCTTCACCCTCAGTCAAGAGTAAAAGTAAGTAAAGTTTGGTTTGATCTTCAAAGTCAGTAAAATTTATTGGCCTTTGTACAGATTACATGTCAGATGAGAACAAAATCCCAGAAAGCCATCTTACAGGGGGGGGAATGAGTAAATAATATGTTATTGCCCTTTAACTTGATTATTTGAGCATTTTAAAACTTTGCTTTACTGCTTTAAAAGTTCTGAACAAAATGCAAAATTGTCAGTTACAGCTGACTACTGCTCAGAATAATGGTTGTATTTACCATTGCAACATTACTTTTTGATACTGTAGTAATGTGTTTAGGAAATCTGGATAAATGTATTCAATAAAACATATTTGCATATTTTGTTCTTTTTGTACCTTTAAAAAAAATGTATTAACATAATATTTTGTTTGGGGTTTTTTTACAGCGAGGAGCAGACTGTCTCGACAATTCAGCCTCCCAACTCCTCTGAACTACACTGTGGGAAATCCATCCTACACAAAAGGCATTGATGTTCAAAATATAACAATTTCAGGTAAGCTTGGTCACTCTGGTGTTTTGCCCTGTGGGCTACATTTAACTGGAGTTATGCAATATTGAGGAATTCAAAAGATGATATTGTTATCCATAGAACAGGGGCATGAGCCAAAACTCAAAAGTAAGACTCCAGGGCTGTCAAGCTTTGTTCACCAGAGGAGAACACTTGATGGAGCATATCCCAAGCAGTTGGGCCGTTACGGAAAAGCTGTCCCTCCTGTGTATGCAGTGCTTTAGTAGCACTGAAGCAGTTGTTAAGTTGTAAATTTTACTGTGTGATTAAATAGAAGATTTGTGATCATTTATTTCTCATGACTGTAGCTTTGGTTTGACTCGTGATGTTCCCTCTCTGAAGCCTTTTTTTTTTCGTTTCCCCCACAGGCACCGGTGAATGGAGCATATGGGATTTTTCAGGCTATGAGCCGTACTATATGCTGTACGACCACTTTCTGGGGGATGTCCACTGTGCGCACGTGGTCATGTTTAACCTGCAGGACTCGCTGGACGAGCAGATGGCTCAGGTCGTTTTCTGGCTGAACTTCCTCAAGGCTCGGATCCACCCCAAGATGCCCATAGGTGAGAAGACCTCAATGTCGTTCTTGTTAAAATCTAATTCCTGACCAGACGCTAAAGAAATCGTTTGGCCTCAAAAGGTTTTGATCCCCTGCGGGAATGCACTGTGCAGGGAGAGAGAGGAAGGACAAGAAAAGATCATGTTGACCGTGCTCTGATTTTATTCTTGAACTTTGGCGTGGCTGAGTGATAAGTGTATATCTTATTGGGCCTTACGGGTCAAAGTAAATATTGAAATTCACTTGCAGTATGTGAAGTGGATGTATAGCATGTGTACATGTGGACAAAAAAAACTGCAGTTCTGTGGAGTCCAGTATTCTAGGTTTTCATCTTGATGAATCATATTTCAAAGGATTGAAGAAAGTCACTGGATAAAGGGAAGCTATTTACTACTGAAAGCAAAATGTTTCCTAAGTTGATTTCCCTTGCCGCGCTAGGTTGTTTGGAGGTTTGTTGTTTTGTTGTGGGGTTTTTTCCTTATAATTCAGGAACTCCAAATGTTAGCCATAGCCACAGGCTTGGTCATTACTCCAACATTCCCACTGGGCACACGGAAGATGAGCCTTATGTAAATACATGAACATTAATATTTTCTCACTTTCATTTACTTTATTAATTTCTTTTTTCCACAAAGGCATCTGTAATCCCCCCTTCATATTTCTGTTCCTATTGAATAACCGTCTTATAAGGTGCTAAGACAAGATTTGCTCTTGAGATGCTTTCCCTGTTGCCCCACATGAGTGAAATATATACCAATTACATTTTGGAATGATAAACTCGATAAAGATAAAACATTAATGTTACCTTCCCCAGACCACTGCGGCAAACTCCAAAACACAGGCCAGGTGGTGCTGGTGGCCACTCACGCGGACAAAGCAACCACACCCACCCAGAAGAGCTCCAGCGGCAGCGGTCTTCACACCAGCGAGGACGCCCAGTACATCCTGGAGAAGGTGCTGACCATGTTCCAGTACGACCTGGACATCTGCCCACAGGTGTACGTGATGGACACACAGCTGCCCTCCTCTGTGGACATGCGGGCTTTCAAGCACCAGCTGGGGAAGATGAGAAAGAGTCTTTCGGATGTGAGTATTTTCAGAGTTGTCAGCGCTAGCTAGTGCGTCTTTGTTTTTGCTGAAGATAGTGTCATTTTTTGAGTGATCTGTATTAAAGCAGATTCTGTGAAATTGTAAGGGAAGTTCCTTTCCTGAATACGAAAACAAGAAAAATGCCCAAAACTTCTCATCAATCAGACATAGTCATTACTATATTTCAAAATTAGGGAGATTCTATTTGTTACAGTAATTTCTGTACTGGGATGTTCTTTCAATGAACAAAGAAAAAAAAAAGACAAAATTTTCTCAATTGCCAAATAGTTGAGGGTTTTTTCGTTTGTTTAACCTCCTCTGCCATTTCCTATGTAAACATTATTATGTATATCTGCCTTTTATCCCATCTTGCAGCAGACATAATTTCTACTTGTGAAATGTCAATGTTTTCAGGCACAGGTAGTGGGTGATTAGTGGGCAGTATTTTTTATCTTTCCCCCTTTTTTTGTGCTTGGTACTCTCTTTTGTAACACCTCTAATCTTCAGCAATTATATTACCTTATTGTATTGCAAGTGCTGTGAAAAGCTTATTAAACAACAATGAGACAATTTTTCCTGGTTGTCCGCGCCTCTGCAGACTGTTGGAGAGGACAACTAGAGTTCCTTCTTCTTGGCTTTCCCTCTGTTGTTTCTGTCTGTCATACTTTTGTCATATGCTTCTCTATATTGAAAAACAAAAATAAAACCCCAAATTTGTCCATGTCCTCAGAAAATCCCCCGCTCTAACGGTTTCCTGTCAGCCGTGGTTGCCCAGCTGCCAGAGTGGCGCAAGGCTCTGGCGTCGTACCCTGTGCTGAGCTGGCCTCAGTTCTCAGAGCATGTGCGGGGCTGTGTCAACCCACTGGCTAGCGATGAAGATGTCAAGCTGCTGGATCGGCAGCTGCAGCTGATGGGAGAGGTCGGTGGCTTTTGGTGTTCAGCGCTCGTGTATTTTTGGGAGAGGCATTCTTTGCCTTTGTTTTTTTTGTTGCAGAGAACAAAGACTTTTAAAAGAAAGACGTTCTGTTTTAGTTGTGATTTATTTAGACGTTTGTAAACTTGAGAGCTTTAAATGTTTTTGAGGTACTACAGCTTGTTGAAACTGTCTTTGACAACCATTGATTGTGGAAAAGAAAAGTGTTCGTCTTAGACAGATGGTCCTGTTGGACAATGTCTAAATAATAAGGAAAAAATCAAGGGGGAGGAAGAGGGGGGGATGGTCCTTTGTACTGGTGATTGTCTTGGACAGGTGGTTGTTAAAGCAGGATCGACCATATTTTTTTCTTGTTGCATAGTCGTTTAGGGAATACAACTGAATTTCCCAAAATTCAGCCAGAGTGAAGACTACCACATCGGTTACATAGCGAGGTTGATATCATTTTCAGATAATAACAAAGTAAAATTTCTATGAGTTCAGTGCTTGGTTTTCATGGTTACCACACGACCACCAGTTCAAATATTATAACTAATCTTAGAAAACGTATTTCTCTTTTGTTTGCTAAAACCATTGTTGGTGATAACTGAGCTACGAAACAATCCCTGAAGTCTTATAAGTTTTACATTTCTAGTTTTCTGAAAAGAGTTAAGAATCTCCTGGGAAAATCCTTAAGTCAGACTTGCCTTCTCCTCTCACTCATTGCTTTTTTCTGTTTCATTGACAGATTGTTTATTTGCATAGCCACACGGACCTAGTGGTGGTCAGCCCCCGCTGGCTCGGGGTGGACGTCTTAGGCCACATCATGTCCCACGAGAGGATCGCCCAGGCTCGCGTCATCGGATGTTTCTCATTGGATGAGTTCCAGTTGATGTACCCCAGCACTGATGCTCTTAGTTTACTTCAGGTATTGCTTGAAAATGAGATTTAGAGGACGAGGTCCCAAAAGTTTATTTAATAGACCAAGTGTGTTTTTCTATTTCATATGTTAATTAATAACCCTCTGTTTGTATTTGATGTTAAACTTTCCTTTTGGTTTCAGACCAATAAGGCTATCTTGGTAGATTTTCCCGGTTCCCTTTGTAAGACTCTATCAAGATGCTGATCTCTTGTAGGTTGTAGGAAAATTCTCTGAATGTACAGTACATATCTCTTTGTCTCTTCAAGAATATCAGTTTTGTAGTTAGTGCCATGTAAGGTAGGTGTCTAACAACAAACTAAAATTTTTCATAGTTGTAAGATGAACTAATTTCCTGTTGTTTTTTATTAACATTGTTTCTTAATTTTTCATTGTGCTGTCAACTTTTCAAAGAGTGGTGTGTGAATTTCAAACCCACATTCTAGTTTCAAGCCTTTGTAAAGCATTCTCCATAACTTAAAAAAACTTCACTTTCATTCAGATAGAGCTCATATGTGAATGCCACATGAGTGTAGAACAACTGTCCGTGCCTCCTCAGGTTCTGGAAGCTCTCGAGATGTGCACTCCGTGTGAGGTTGACGGAGATGTGGAGTACGAGTTTCCCTGTCTCAACTTTGTGGAAGCTCTTGAGGGCCTGTGGCTGCGGGATGAGAAACGGTTTCAGTCCCCGGTGTACGGAGGTGTACGCCTACACACCAGCTTCCAGTCCGGGGCACAGCTCAAGTACTTGTTTCCTCGTATACAGGTACACAGATCAACTTTTAACTTTTGTGTGTTTAAGAAACTATGTCCAAGAAATAGGAACGTCAAAACTTCTAAAAGTTGTCAGAGTTTGTTGCATCATTGTTGATCAGTGTGTTTATTGCTTTACTTTTATTATAAGCTTTCAGTACTGTTCATTTTTAGATACTTTGAGAACAAGGTTTTACTTATATTATTTTCACTTTAGCTTTTCTGTTTCCTGAAAATAATTCTAGTGTTCTCATGATCCTGTTATGTTGTCAACGTGAAGATTACTGCAACGTGACTCTACTGGTATATCTGTGCATACAGAAGATGCACATTTGCCTGCTTTTTTCACTGGTAATATATTTGTTTTGTTTTGGTAATCCTTGTGGTTAGGAGAAAATACAAGAAGAGCATCGCTGTAAATTGTCCTTGCTACATTGCCAATATTGAGAAAAAACAAATATTTTAAAGATTATTTTGACGACTTGCTTCTTCCCCCCATGTTGTTTTTCCTCCATCAGTTTAAAGAAAAACTACTTTTAACAATTATTTTATAAAATACGAAATGTTTCCTCTATGTTGTTTTTTCTCTATCACAGGTGTGTCTCCGCCGTAGCATACTGTCAGGAGACGAGGAGCAAGAGGAGGAGGGAGATAGCAGCGGCGACGAGGAACACAGGGTGAAGGAGGAGCAGAAGGACGCAGACCTGTACCAGTGGCACCACGGCTCCAAGTACTGCTGTGCCCGACTGGAGGGCATCATCGACATGGACCGCAATGAACAGTTTCTGGAAATCAAAGTTCGTGGTCCAGAGGGAGAGCGGGCGAACCTGTATTACTTTCTAGAAGACTTTGTGAACATTGTGGAGCAGGTGGTGGAGAACGTGTGTCCAGGACTCTGTGTGGAGAGGTACACGCTCAGCCCCTCACAGCTCAGTGAGCACGGCAAGGTCGTTCGGTCGTATTCGCCGACGGAGCTCCTTCGCATGCAGTTGGAGAATCGCTCGTCCGTTGTTCTCAGTGGGAATCTGAAGGAAGATTTCATCGATATTGCGTGCCTGGGCTCAGAAGAAATCCTAGAGACAGTGACACTGGGTATGGATCTGCCCATCTCACATCTGACTGTCCACACTCAGAGGCTGCTCAGTTTGCTGCTGGATCCTCCTGAGGCAATGGGCAAGGACTGGTGTCTTCTGGCCGTCTCGCTGGGACTCAGTGACGCCTTGCCCTCTTTGGAGGCAACAGAGGAGACAGGGGAGGGAACTTGTGTCAGTCAGACACAGAAGGTGAGTGTATGGTTTGAGTATGGCTTTTGGTTTCTATACGTCTTGTAAGTCAAATTGTTTTTTATTCAGTAGACCAGACCTATGATTTCCTGCCCACGTATAATATGGTTATGTGTGCCTTAAACACTCTTCAGAAAATATAACCTTTGTCCCAATAGTTGTCAGTTTTGAAGGATTTTTTTTCACACTGGGTTTTTTTAAAGTATCAAATGCTTTAAGGACAAGATCTTGCCTAAAATTGTTTGAATTTTGTTAGGTAACATGAAATATAGATGGTTAAGTTTAAATGATGTGAATGCGAATGGATATTGGAATAGAAATAGTAAGTAGACTTCCTCAAACGAATGCTTAACAGCGTGTAACAGTATGCTTATGACTTGTAATTACAGTTCAATTGTAGAGTGTATGACAGCGGAACATTTATGTTGACATACATTCAACAATGTCTTTGTCATATAACCTTTGGTTTAAATGTGTACGATGAATGTTCTCATCATGTCTTTTTTTTTGCTTTTGTTTTTTTCCTTTCCAGGTGCTAAGTGAATGGACCAGACGACACAATGATGCCTCCATAAGACAGCTTGTGTATAAGCTGAAAGAAATTAGTCGTTTGGATGCAGTAGAAGCGATATTAAGGACAGGACCACCCTTCAAGGTGTTATCCTTTGAAGACCAAATGACTGATAGCACAGGAACACATGGGACAAATGCCTCCACCAACACCTTATCAAACTTGTCCAGATGACAAACGTAAAGGAGACCATTCTTACAACTGAACGAGTGTCCAACTTCAAAGTGTCAAGATGTGCTGCTGTTTCGCTGAAACTCTTGTTGCCTCTCCTGTGCCTTTTTTTGGATATCGTTGGCTTAGGTACATACAGCTTGGAGTAACTGATTTGCGTCCTTGATTATTTTAGCCAAATGACTGGATTCTGTCATGTTCTTTTGTTTAGTATTTTCTTTCCAACTGTATCTGAGGGAAGTGTATAGGTACCAGTCATTGAAAGTTGTTTTTACGGTTATCTCTAATCAGTTTTGTCCTGAAAGAATTACAAGGAGTAGATAAAAACTGTGGAATGAGATGTTCCGGATTCAGTAGTGACAGTGCCTCTCCCGATGTGGGGAGGGTTGCAGTCAGATAAGTACACCCTACTAGTAGGTGACATTGTCTTGCATGTCTTGGCTATGATAAGTCTTTCTACTATGTCATATGGACTTTTGTTCACACTTGTATCAGTAAATTGGGGGGATTTTTCTTGAACTTTGGCAGGTGCTATGTTGGGGGTTAGTGGTATAACGTTACCCTCTGTGGAACTGGATGGTCTTTTTGCTTTGCTTTACCTGTCTCCTGATGGGCTGTCGTCTTTATTCTGTGTTGGGAGGATATCCTGTCTGCTTTGTCTCTCTCGTATTCAAAATTGACGTCCCGATACTGAAATTGAACAGCATTTGATGCAGAATTACTCTTTTGAGGATTGTCTTTTTTGTTCTAAAATCCTGAAACCTTTCTTCAGCTTGTGATATTTGGGGAACAGAAATTAGATTATGATATATGTCTATACGGCACGGAGCAGCTGGTTTTCAGGGTGTATAGCATGCATCAACAGCACAAGGAGCTGATTAGGAGGGTGTTTCCAGTGTGTTAAACAATGAGAAAGAGAATATATATATATAAATATTTATACATATATATGATGCATCCGGCACAGTGGTAGGGATATGTCGCCATTTGATGTGGCTTTCCCTTCAAACTATAAATAGATGTGTGGTCTCTCTCAACTTCAACCTTCTTCGGGGACTGAAAAAGAAGCTGTCTTCTGTGATTTGCAAATCTTCTGCTTCTGTTTTTTTGCTGTGTCTGTTGCTCAAGTGGTGGGTGTCCTATGTCAAACAAGCTATGAATTACATAGTCTACAATCATCATTTAAACACACCCCCCCTAACTGGTGAAGGGACCATCCCATATTATCTGTATGTTGAGTTAATATATGGATCCGTCTTTCTTATTTTCATAAAAAGTCTCAAATATCCGCTGTCAAAAGATGATTCATTTCATCCCTCATCATTTTGTACATATGCGTAAAATATGCTCTGATAGTAAGAAAATGATTTGACCATAGTACTTGATAGTGCTATCAGCACTGCTTTGGGATTTAGATATAGTTTTGTGAGCATCACTTGTTGTTTTTTTTAACGGTAGTTTTAATTAAGAAATAATGTTTACTAGGCAACCTTTGTCAGGTTTATTTTGTATTGTGCATGTCAACACCTTTATGTCACATTCTTGACTACCGTCTTTGTGCTTGTGATTGATACCTCCTTGTTCAAAGTGTTATCTGATAGTGAGATAAGTAGTGAAGAAATGAATGAGCCCCTCAAATTCTGTAACAGTAAGAGCCAGTGGAGAGGTCTGTTTATCCGTAACACAAAGCAAGTGTGCAAATAGTGGGAGCGGCAGTGTTTGAACCTATGCAATTTATCAGTACATCACTGTTGGAAATGTTGTTTTAAATAACAATAATAGAATGTTACTGTTGTTTTTAATCTTCCTTTTGTCTTCTTGAACTCAGGCCATGCTTTTTAAAAAGGCAGAAAATGGCAAATGTAGGTTTAGATTTTTGGGGGGTTGAGTTTTTAACATCAGTATTTAGCCTCTAGGAAATGAAGCCTTTTTATTGCTTATGCAAATACTCTGTATTATTTTCATTAGCCTTGCTGAATATTGTCCAAGAGAGTATTGTATCTAAGGTTTTGACTCTTAAATTACATTGATCGTTTTTACCCCGTTACCCCTTTATTTCTCCAATGTAATTATGTAATATATATCTTTCTCATTAACAAAATGTGTGTACAGAAAGTGTGTACATACAAGCCCCACCCATGTACAATTCACTGCATTGTCATGTCAGTGATGCAGTGTTGTCCTTGCTTGGTTTGAAGTATGTGTGGGGTTATTTATCCTGGAGCTGGTGTCCTTCCCGTCGCCATTCTTTGTTTGAACATAATAAATTACATCTGCCTTGTACAGACTAACTTAACTGGATTGCCTGACTACAACCCAAACCGACTATGGTCTGTGGTGAACCTGACCTATGCACATGATTTCATCTGATGACTTAACTGCCTCCACTTTATCTTGTACTTTATATATGACCAAAGTCTCTCTCTTTGATTTGAACATATGAGTCTCTTGAACATGTAGATTATTTATTGTATCTTTTGTACATGTTTGTATTTATTATAAGTGCTAAGGAGGGCAAGGTGACTGTCTGCGAAGTGTTGTACATTGTCATCTCATGTGAAGGTGAAAGGTAAAATGTTTTGTCATGACATATTTATGGTGCTTGACTTGCCTAGCCTTTGCACTTTTGACGCAATTACCTGTGAGTTTGACGTCTTTATAACCAACATGTGCTCAGTTGCCTACTTCAGTGGGTTCTTTCTGAGCATTTGTTCGAAAAAACCCAAACATTTTGGGGCAAAAAAGTCTTTGGGTGTAATCCTGAATACTTTTTCCTCCTTGTGAATGAGTGTCTCACCCACCTACATGGCCACTTGCCACAAGCCATGACCACAACCACTATTTCTCACGATGAAATCCATTACATTAGTATCTCACAAAGCCACGCTTTACGCAAAAAGTGATGGAGAGTCTTTTTGCAACAGTGTAAAACCCTAGCTCCATCCATACTATGGGATATGGCTGTAAAGTCACCATAAGAATTTTCAATTAGCAAAATAAATGGCACATCAGTTTATGAGAAGGAAAACAAGCTTTAACTGTTTTTGATAGTTCCCAACAGTTTGCTTGAATGAATTACCTGGTGCTATGAAAGCACTTTTTGCCTTTTATAGAACCTAGCCTATCTTTTAGACACCAAACTCCTTTCTCAAGGTGAAATGGTTGTAGTTAAGGTTTGGAATTATTGACAACACTTTAAATGGAGACATGGTACTGAATTACGTAAAACAATAAAGATGCAAGTTGTGCCAAAATTTCAGTGAGACTCAAGAGCAAGAAGAATTAACTGTGATGTTACTTTGTGTATTATATTTTAGCTTTTTATTTTAAGCTTCCTACTGAAATGGCACCGTGAGCTACCTGAATGTGGGAGGGGGTGGGGTGTTGTTGATACACTACAGAGTAAGCAATATAAACTGAGGGGCACAAAAATCGGTAATGTGGTAAAATTCAAACTTGAGAGTATTAAAGAGTAGAAACTTAAGGTACATTCCAAAACTAGATCTACGTAGTTTTTGTCGTACAGCGACCACATGACACCATTCCCTCTTTATACACATGGAGACGTTTATTAGTCTGCATATCTTCACAATCGTTAAATATACTAGACCATGTTTCCATCATTCACTAGTTTATCTAACCTAAGGAACATGAATGTGCGTTTGTGACAAATATTTGTTCATCATCCAAGACCCTACAAATTGTAACAGGTAACAACACAAAATGGACATTAGTAGTGGACTTAGTTCTCATAAATTAGTTATGAAAGACAGCAAGAGCTGAAATCGTAGATCATTTCTTTTTACAGAATACTGAGACAGGATTACTGAAGTGTGCAAACTTGACTCAGAATTGTCCTCTTTTTTTTATGGAAGAATCATCATTTGAGTGATTCACCTTCTTCATGTAGAGGGAATTCATGTTAAAAGAAATTTCCTTAACTTTCTATTGTCAGAGGTAACCCCAACGTATTCTATCTGGGAAACCCATCAACCAGAAAAAGTCCAAAAAGCTTTCATTTCAAGTTTCCCCTCTCCTTCAAGCGTAATTCTCAAGCTAGTATGATGTACACTAGAGTGTGTTGGTTGACAAACTGGAAGAAGTGGAGGAAAGTTGAAGTTTTTAGAATGAGATTGGCTTTCAAGCTTTTTGAGCGTTTATTTCTAGAATATTTGGAGGAAACCAGACAGATTTTTAGTTCAATCTTCAATTGACCAAATTGAGTAAACATTTCCTTTTATAGATACAATAGGAGCATTGATCTAGTATGAAAACTTTCTCGAGATGACCGAATTTTTGCAAACTTAATTTTGAAATTATATCTTTGTCAGGTGCCTCAAGGTATACATGCCACACAGTCTTATCAGAACATTTTTTATGGCATGTCATATATTATAAGACTGGGGGTTTTTTGCAGATGGTTGCAAACTCAACACGCGGGTATGAAAGTTTTTGGTATGAAGTTTGTGCTGTTAAAATTGTTCTTATCCTTCTAGAATAGTTCCAGAAAAATAATTGTGTTACTGATCCATTCTCTGCCTGATGGAGCTTTATGCTTCAACACACTCCACAACAAAAACACAAGAAGATTTAGGAAAATGTCCAGCATTGCATTGGGATTTGTCTTTGACTCTACTCAATGTTTGTGAATTTTTACTTCCAATTTTTGTGACGTAACTCTTGACTTATTAACTCACAGTCTTTACTTGACTGGAAAAATGATGAAACCTCTCAGTAATATCAGTAGTTGGACCTATGATGGCTTCTAGAGTAGTGCAGCGGCATGTGGGTGAAGCAAAATTAGGTTTTATTCTCTTGTCTGTCATTTTCCTGTGAATATTCATGGTCTTTAATAGATGAGTCATATCAGGTGGATTTAGGAAAATACAATGATATTAATATTTAGAAAATCTAATATGCACTGTAAAGGTTTGTTTGCTTTCTGCACAGACAAAACTAATGTAATTATATTTCTCTTTAAAAAAAACCAAAAAAACTCTTACACTTAAAGCCAAGGGTAAGAATATGAAATGGCCAGAAAATACACATTTTGTTAACATCAAAGAATAGTTTTGACAGACTATACAGATAACCTAAAATTATACCTCATGACATGACAATGGATTAACTCTAGAGGTTTGTTTTAACTTGTACTGCATTACTTTATTGCAATTTGTTTTACTACTTCTTTACAACATGACTGGTATTCATCTGTCTATTTTTTATGAATTGTGCTATTTGAATTGTCTTTCTTGAGAATTTCTTGACTTCTTGCCACTCTCAGATATTCTATTTCTTTGTTAACAGTAGGCTACTGTGGTCTGAGCATTACTGTTTTGCTGCTGAATCAATGTCTGTTCTCACATTTGAAGGTGAAGAAAATATCTTCAGTTTACTTTACATCAGTCTTCCAGTCACTTCAGTGCTCAAATTACGCTTTGCTGCAAGTCTTTGGGATTTTTTAATGCTTGGTTTACTCTTTCCATTTCATTACGCTCTTGTTGATGGCCAATAATGGGGGGGGGATGTCCGTTCCGTGTGTTGACTTTGTCTTGGGCACCATGGGTTTAACTCATTTGAGCCTATTTCCGTGTATTTACAGGATACGCTTTATCAATCGATATCTCGGGTGTTTTTCATTTACAAGCTATTGGAAGCACTGAACCAATAGCTGACCCTCTTGTTTTGTTTCATTAATAATTTTTTTGAAGTTATGCGCTACACTTTTTGAACAGTAATGGACTAAGCCAGTCACCCCCGCATTGTGACAGATGATTTTATTATAAATTGGGCACTAAAAAACTGTGTAACCCATAGACATTACTATTTCAAAATAGTGATAAAATAAAAACTATTCAGACAAATCAGATGCAGTTTTCTTTTTTTTTGGTTAGAGTATTTCTTCCTTTCTTTTGTTGCTTTTTAAAAATTATGATAGCTTTCACAGTATTTTTGTGGTTAATGATTCAATATACCCCGAAACTGTCAGGCTGTAATGGTTGTTGGGTGAAAAATAGCTCAGGCTCAAGTGAGTTAATACTTCAATGATGACTCTATCCTACATGCAAAAATAGTTTTGCCCTGCAGCTATACGTGATATCATATTCCCTTCTTTTTAAGTCGGAAAACAGCTGACAAATTCATGATCGTCTTGATCATAATCTCCTCTAGCGTCATCTCCACAAGTCTTATTTTATCGCATAATCTTGACTTGTTCCACAGTTAGGGTAACAATAATTGCTAGTGATGGTGCTTGTGTTCGACTTGCATATAAGTAGAGAGAAAAGGCAGTGCTTTTCCATTCACATGTAGCTCTGGCACCTCTGAGCGAGCACTGCTTGGCCTTCACATGCAAAAGACATGGGTTTGATTCTTATGTCGGAGAATTTCTTTTTTTAGGATATCGTGATCTTTCCGCTAGTATTATGTATCCCTCTCAGCCCCAGTTGGCCCTTGTGGGCAGTGTTTAATTAAAATTTTCAGTCTCCCAACTATCTGGTCCCCCTGTCTCTCATGTACTCATCATTAGTTCCGAGGTCCGTAGCGCTTTTCTACATCATAGTGCAGGTTGGCTAAATAAATAATTGTCCGAAAATGAGTAGCAGAGTAGGCATTCTCAATTTTTCTCACCTTTTAACATTGCCTCTGAGATCATTGACATTTCTATGCAGTCAATTGTACTGCTCAGGACGGTTTGTTTGACATGACTTACCAAATGATACATGTATGCATGTGTGAACGTTAAGGACAGTTTTTTTGTTTGTTTGTTGTTTTAGGAGTTTATATGGCTCCTCGACTTCATTGTTGGTCTTATCAGAGTTGGTATTTTAATGGGTTGTAAATTAAATGTTTATAAAAAGGCTTTTAACCTTCACTATAACCTACCATCTTAGGTTGCCTTCATGATTTTGTTATCATACATTTTGTTTTATACATTCTTTTGTACCTTAAATTTTGTTTTGTTTTTGCCTCAACCACATATGTTGCAATGATCGTCTGATCGTCATTTCCTTTCAGATCAACCTTTTATTTTTGTACAGCTGAACATTTGTTTTCTCGTCAGATCTGACATTTGAGCTATTCATAAAATAAACCTTGCCACAATATGAATTTCATGTGTGTGGGTGTTGTTTTGTTTTTTAGCCTCACTCCAATTAGTGGGTTTTATTTTTCTGGTTTGTTTGCTGTTTGGGGGTGTGTGGTCTAATTCGCTGCAATTACCTGGCACCCTTGTCATCTCATTACAGGGTGGGGTTTTTTTTGGGGGGAGTTCAAGCAGAACATCTTTCACCAAAGGTGAGAGTGAGCTCTGTTGTAGCTACGTGGTTGGCAGGTGCTCTGATGGTTTTTTGGGGGAGATGTTGTTTTTTTTTTCTTCCTTCCTTCTTTTCAAACATCTATCATCTTTATCTCTGCTACCAGCATCTGCGGGGTGTAACAGTTAGGCTTTGCGCTGTTGCATGCAGGACACCTGAGTTCGATTCCCGAGTGGGGAGAAATTTTTATCGAATATCTGTATTTCTGCTGGGATGATTTCTCCCTCTCTGCCCGGGTTGGCCCTGACTGCTAGTTTGGAAACCCACCTAGTATATGATCTAAATTATTGTTGATGAAGGTATAAGAACGCATAAGTTTAATGTTTTAAAATAATCTCTCCTCCTTTTCTTTGTATGTTACTCTCTAGTAAAACCTCTAATCTTCGGCACTCATATGATCTATTTGTGTTGCTAATGCGTTAATCTCATACTAAAACTACAGCTCAGGTGTAGTCTACTTCTTCTTTTCAGCGTTACCATTTTTCCTGTAATATTCTAGACGAATTGTGTCTGTTATCATGAACACACTCTTTAACCTACAACAATGGGCAGTTGGCGGGTGCTCTGGTGTGGTTAGCTCCTTTCCTATCAAACATCTTTCCACTCCTCTTTCTTTTTTTTTTGTGTTTGTTGCTCTCTTATGACGCCTCTAATTTTCGGCACTTATATGACCTAACTGTGTTGCAATCGCCGTAAAACTCTTTTTAAAACAGAACAAAAAACTTCAACTTATTATTATCAAAAGACTTGTGATGTCTTTCAGTTTTTCTAATGCGATAAAGGACTTTCTGCTTCCACCTCAGATTCTCCCTATCGGTGTCTGTCGTATATACTAATAATACTAATAATAAAAATAAGAATAATAATAGGCCTAATTACTACTAATAATAAATAATATCATTTGTATAGCGCTCCACAGCAAGCTCTATGCGCATTACATTACTATAATTTATTACCCCAGCAGACCACAGAACACCCAGAAACATTCACAGGAAGCATACAGTGTAAGCAGCTGATTAAGCGCTCAAACATTAACAAACTGACAAGATCTTTCACTTTCTACATACAGCTGGGTACCCATTCCCACCTGGGTGAAGTGAGGAAAATTCGTGTGAAGTGCCTTTCCCTAGGACACAACGTCGGGGTCCCTCACGAGATTCGAAACCACGACATTATGGTTTCAAGTCTGAGAGCTTAACCACAACGCCACCGACGCCACGGTTAAGCGCTTCACCTACACATGCAGGAGACCGGTGTTCGATTCCCAAGCGAGGAGTATTTAAAATTTGTATTGACTGTGGGACGCTCAATGTTAAAAACAATCAGGAAACGACAAATGCAGTTTTGGGGACACCGGAACAGACGTAAGGGTCTTGAACATCTAGCTCTCACTGGCAAAATTGAGGGCAAGCGAGGCAGGGGTAGGCCCAGAATATACTTAGGGAACCTAAACAAATGGGTAACAGGGAAAGATCAGGGAAACGTGTTTTTTTTTTTTTTGAGCATCCGAGCAAAGGAATGAATGGAAAACCAAGATCGCCGATGTCTGTCGCAGATCTGGCACTGGATGATGATGATGATTGATTGAGTGCTGGGATGTTGTACATTGTATATTATCTCTCATGCTACACTGGCCTTGACAGGCAGGGTCTGAGCCCGCCTCCTGAATGATTGAAACTCTGTCGATGGGGGCATAAAACATCTACATTCAAACATTAAAATTGTTCATTTCCCCTCAACGATTCTTTTTCAATTGTTTTGTTTGGTGGGTTGTTTTTCGTTGTTTGATTCTGTTTTGTTTTGTTTTTGGGAGGGGGTTGTTGTTGGTAGAGGTGGTTTAAAAATTATTTTGTTAAATTGCTTTCTTAATTTAGATTTTTTGTAAGAATTCTTTGTTTACACTGTCTATGAAAGGGGTAAAGTTCTATTCGAGTTCTCCATTTGGAACTTAAAGACGCACTACGGAAATCCAGAGTCCCCACTTGCAGTGGGATTAACATAGGGGTTGCCATGACATTATGATCGTAAGACGGATTTAACTTTGAAGAATTCTCTCTCTCTCTCTCTCTCTCTCTCTCTCTCTCTCTCTCTCTCTCTCGTTCAGTTTTTACTGACAAAGGACGCAAGTGTGTGAAAGAGAATTGGTCAACCTAATATATAGAGTTATCTCCCCTCGATTTGCAGTCGACAAGAAACGGACGAGTTTACAAATCAACAAAGAGTTAAAACAAGGATGTGTGTTGTCAGTTAACCTTACTTTTTTTTTTACACCATCCTGCTACCAGTTAAAACAAAGTTCAATAATTACAGAAGGCAATCAAGGCAACCCCCCCCCAATCCTTTTCCCTCTCCACCTTTTTTTTTTGAGCGTCTGAAACGAAAATATAATTACATTATATTTGTTAGCTTAATTCGTTTTTCAAGACATGAAAACGTTCAGATTATGCAACCGTTGATTCCAAATCTCCCCTCCCCTCCTCCACCCCGCCCCCTCGCTTCTCCCTCCGCCCACATTTAAAAAAATGAAGTAAATGACTTAACTACATGATGATATTGGAGTTAAACAAATGTCTACTATTCTAACAGACTGAAGGCCTGGCTCTTTTAAATCAACGGCATTCATCAGTTTAAGCTCTTTAAAAAAACAACATAAAGTCTCAAAACTTTCAGAACCAGCTAGATATTATCCATATCAAATATGTAATTTACAAACTGCAACATACATCACTTTTACTTCTAGAATACACACACACTATATTTCTAAATAAAAAGATAATAAATGAACAATCAATTAATAAATTAAAACAGTATGAGCTTAAATTGTTGACCAGTAGTCTTCTCATCGGTCAAAGAAGAAGAATAAATCGATGAGCGCTGAGCAAAGAAGTTTTGAGCTCAACAAGATGGTCAACAGGCGAGTGCGGGCTTCGTGGTGAAAATTGTAAAATGGTATGGCCGCCCCTATCAACACTATGAGGTTATTTTAGAGGCGGGATCTCCAAGTTTAACGTTCATCTCTGAAAGGGAACCAAAAGGGAACTCGGTGTAAATTTCCTTTCCTAAAGTCACAACGTCGGACCGAACTGAGGCTCGATCCCCCGAACCTGCAATCTCACGACTACGGTCTAAGCGAATCCTGAAAGATTAAGTTGATTTGTCGATAATCGATTTGTCGGTTTGATGCCTCTAAGAATTAAGCGGTGAGAGAAACTCAATGGTTTTCCGAAGTTACAAAATGTCTCGGAGAAGTGTTACGATAAGGGAAATAGAAATAAGAGTGAGAGCTGTCCTTATTTTGGTGTTTCTTGGCGACACAACTTTTCTGCAGGTCAGAAGTTCTCCAGGAGCGTGTACACAAGAAAACAAGACTGACGGGAAAAGCATACATCATCAAACAAATTATGGAGTTTCTCAGTACAGGCACAGTCTCTTTGCAGAGAGGCAATTAATTTTAAGTGTTTCGTTCGTAAGACTACTAGATCTAATTGTTTGAAACAAATGATAACCAGGCGGCGCAAGTAGTGAGGACTGAATTGAATTAATTAGTAGAATTTCTTAAACAGACCGTTTTCTAGCATTTCTAGGGAGAAAATGAAATCCACCTTTCACTAACAAATGTTACAACGATGATTAAACCTAATAATGAGCCAGGACTTGACCGAAGCTGTATCTCTGCTGAGAAAAATATGATAATACGTAGCTGGTTGAGGCACCATTTATTTGTTTAGCTGTACAACTTAATCTACTGGTACATCCAAGCATTCCACTTGGCCTGCATTAATTAGTCCTCCGCTTTTTAGAAATGGCTCCCCACATAATGCTCCGTCTTATTATAACTATTTATTTCGGTCTCGAAATCAATTATTTCTTACTCAATTGACCCTAAAACAAATGTCATTCGATTATGGTAATAGAAAAATGCAATTAGAGCGTCTTTCCTAGCTCCCTCAATTTAGTTATATGCAAATATAAAAGGCAAATCTTGGGTTATTTTTTCTGCGTCAGTTGATTAGTTCCATTGCGATACGCATTCGTGGACAACAGCAACATCCTGGCCATTCACAAAACCTTCAAGATAACAGAAACATTGCAAGTAAGTCACAAATACATCATAAATTCCCAACTAAACTTAAAATCTTCAGATTTACCAAATTTCTTGGTCATTTGTCGGTGCGTTCACAAGGTATTACACAGTCTATCCTAAACGATCCGGTGAGTTCGAGAGAAACACGATGAACCCAGTGCACACTCTTAACGACTGTAACCCCTCCACGCTGGGATACTCATCATAATATCATTCTACCGTTATCTAGATCTTTTACCTTGTTTCTCTCTACTGCAAACCACATCCCAAATTATTAGACGCATTTCTTCTGTTACGGGTAGTTTTTGTTTGTTTATTTGTTTGTTTGTTTGTTGTTGTTTTGGGGTGGGGGGGTTTTAGGGGGGTATTTTTTTTGGGGGGGGGGGTGCTTGTTGTTGTTGTTTTTTGTTGTTGTCGTTTTGTTTTGTTTTGGTGGGGGTTTTTTTTTTTGGGGGGGGGGGGTTTTTTGCAAAACCTAAGTACCTTGAAACTCCAGCATGATTTCATACTTATGTTTCGATATTTCATACCTGGGAGATCTAGATCTAGCTACGCTTTCAACACAGCGTACACTATGTCAGGTGAGAAACTAAACCTCGTCAAGGAAAACAAGAACAAACCATGCTGGCCTACTTTGACCGTTTTGTCTTCATCTCGTTCTCTATTTTGCGTTACAGACACACCGTACGCTATTCCTAAGCATGAATTCGTCAGTCTGGAGCGGGTCTTCGCAGGCTTAGCAGGGACCCTGTGAGCTCTGACCTGGCCAAGACAATCACCTTTATCTTCAGCGTGTGCATACACACGAGCATCATCGCCATCGGGTGTATGGCCAACATCCTCAATACTTTAATAACTGTGGTCTTTTATAGACTGAGACTTTCGGACAGCCTTAGTGTTTCTTTTTTCGTTTTGTCTATTTCCGATCTGGCGGTTTTGTCTTTGAATATTGCAGGGCGTGCTATCTATCTATTTGTCAGTTACACACGTGTTAATTTTGGGGTCTTTGATCCACTGAGCCTCATGTATTTGTTCTCATTTTATTCAAGAATTCCGTACGATACAACTATTTGTCTGACCATGTACGCTGCCGTACAGAAGTGCTGTGTTGTTGTGTACCCTTTCCGTTTTCAGCGTGTGTTTACACGAAATCGGGCCATTTTCACTAATATCATTATCTTCTTAGCAGTAGTGGCTTATAATATACCGTTAATGGCCACTCGGTACTTGAAACATCAGTGGTTTCCTAGAATCAATTCCACCAAACTAACACTGTGGTTATCAAGTAACGAAGAATCCATCAGAGGTCCAATTGAGGTCATTCGAAACATTTTGATAACCACGGCAGAAGTTAGTTGTCGTATCGTTCTGTTTGATCATTTTTGTATAGGCTACAAGCTGAAAGAGTCCTCTCGATTTCACGCAACGCACAGCAAAGATAAGTCGCCCGCGCAGAAAAGAGAGACAGAAGACGGGGTGGAGCGAAAGACTAAAAAGATTTACAATCAAACACCGAAAGAGGTTCGCGCTGTGAAAGCCGTTACAATGATGTCGACCATCTTCGTTGCTTGCACGTTCCCGTCCGTGATGAGTATTTACGCCCAGATCTTAATTCCTGGGTATAATCACCTCGGAGAGTTCAAGAATTTGTACTTCGTTGTTTCCCACTGCCGCTTGATAATCATTTACGTGTGGCTTTCTGCTAATACAGTCATTTACTGCTCGTTTAACACAAGATTCCGAAAAGAACTTTTCAATATGCTCTGCTTCAAGTGCGTGCACTAAGTCACCCGGATGTTTGCCGATGTGACAAATAATCATCTCAAGTCTAAAGCAAACCATTCACAGCCGCAGATATTCCTTTTCTATAGTGCAAAGCGAAAATGTCCGGAAACACGACCGAGCATCATTTAGCCAGTTTATCGGGTTATTTGATCAGCTTTTAAAAAATGTTTTATCTCGATCCAGTGTTACATGATGTAACGAACTCCGAGGGGTCTTATTTCATTATTGTTGTGGTTCAAGGCGGTGTTCATGTTGCTTTTAGTATTGTTGTTGTTTTTGTTGTGTGTAGTTCTTTTAAGAAACTGAAAAATAGGTTTGGTCTCGTATATGTGACAAGGAACGCATCGCTTGAACAATCCTGTATTCGTTGTGTGTACAGGACATTTTTTGTCTGAGATGGTACCTTTGTAATCACATATTACTTTTAATAATAATATATGCATCTCGGGGTAGATGGGTTTTTTTTATTGCCAATACGCTTACCGCTAGACTGTGTTTAACTCCTTTGAAATAAAATTGATGGATGAAAATATTTAATGCTTTTATCCTTTTTATATGCTGTCTTTGTTTTTGTTTTGTTTTGTTGTTGTTGTTGTTGTGGGGGCAAAACAAAACTAGTCTGTGATTCTAGGAGATCGGACAGAAAAATTGTTTGCCTATCACGTAAAGGCCTAAAATCTGTGCCTAGATTGTTTTGACTGACCAAAAACTTCGAGCAAAAATGACCGACTTCGGCCAAGAGTGGCACACGGAAGGGTTTTGAAACAGAAATGACCTATTTCTTTTTTTTTGGGGGGGGGGGGGGTTGGGTGTTTTTGGTAATTTTAGGGACCGCCATATGAAGGAGAAAAGAGGACGAATTTTTTTCACACTGTACCGCACCGGCCATTTAGTTTTGTGTTACAACATTCATAGGCATGTTCTATTCGTGTGGCTTCTGCTGTGGCCGATGAGACCAATAATTTGGAAGAAAAAGGTTTCCCTCGTGTTGAAAATCTAAAAGCTCCACTTCCACCTGTGGATGTGCCCAACTTGCGTGCTTCTCTCTTGGTTTCAGCATTTCTTATTTAATTTGTGAAGCCTCTGTGGACATTTCAATGCACAAACTCCACCAGAAATGCAGACGTCATACTCCGATGTAAGTTTTTGAAGGCGAAAGCGGAAGCGACGCGCCCTCCTTATTTCTGTCAGCCATTTGCAATTGCCGAAAAGCCTTGGGATACAGGGCAAAGCAACTGAATAAATGTGCGAATGTTGTAAGTGTGCTACAGTTTCAGCTTAAATGAAATAAATCGGCTTAATGTAAAAAAGAAAAAAAAAAAAAGCTCCGATAGCGCAAGCGGCTTAGAACGTGCCTCATCGATTTACCCAAACAACAATCTCCAGCGCGCACTTCCGAGCAAACTCCGCCGAAAGAGACCCAGTACGTTCAAAGTACGACTAGATTCTAGATCTAGATCTAGATTATCCTATACAAAGTTGTTCTTTCTCCTGATGGAGTCTGTTAAATTAGTTTACCTTCAGGCTACACCCTTTTATATGTTAGAAAAATACTAGATCTAGATTATCTAGATCTAATTGTTTATTTACCTTAACCAGTTCTTGCAACCAGTTTTAGATATGATTGCTAAATGTATTAATTGAACAGGAGAATTAATGCGTACACTAGTGGACTCATATTGTTCATGAGCTAGTGTTTTCATGCTGCATACTTACTTTTAGACTTCAGAAAGTTGAAAATAGTCAAACTTTCCCATGGAGACAAAAGAGGGTTATGTGGTATACGTATTGTGCATTGTGTTGTCTGGTGCATGCCTTTTGGGTTTCAGATAAATTAATGTTTTAAACATAAGTTTTGCTTTTTATTCTTATTTTGTTAGTTTGGAAGAAGGAAATCCATAAACCAAAACTTAGCAAACGGGTTAAGGGAACAAACGCCACTAGCAAGCGGCATGGTGGCCATCACTGCACGCATCCAGCACTGGCACAAGGAAATCTCAGAGGTGATGGAGAAGCCCAGACTCATGGTCACTGTCATTGTTATAGGATTCTTCAACTTCTGGTTGGCCAGTGAGCAGGTACGTGTAGTTGAGACGTTTATCGACGATAAACCGTTCGACTGTCCTAAGCTCAGATATAAAAAATTTTAGAGGAAAGAAAAGATGGTTTCATTCCTTTAGAAATTTTCCCTACATTGTATATCTTGTCTGGCTTTTGGTTTTAACATTCAGAATTCGAATTTCGATAATCTCGAGAACGTGCAATCGATACCAAAGATCCAAAAATAACAGTTTTCAAAAAATCCTGACGTTAGGGTTCGTACGTCTAAACAGCTGGCCGACTATATAATATTACAGTTTTCACATTTTATTTTATTTTTAAAATTTTTGGGTACGTGTTTTTTGGCACTCGCAACTGCATAAAGTCAAGAGCACGCGGGACATAATGTGCATTTTGCAGTTTGGTCGGAATTAATTTTGAATATTGCCTTTGTGGCGGCCGAAGCCTACTTTTATCGATTTTAGGACCACCAAGGGATCTTTAACGTGCGTAACTTGCACATGGAACTTCCGAGACTTTTTCGCCCTTATCCATGAAGCCTAGTTGTCAGACCTTACCTACCCTAAGATCAGGGGTGTGGCTAAAAGACAGAAATAGAAGGAGCCATGGAGCAGTAGAAGAAAGGCAGCAGAAAGAGTCAGGGTTTGTTTTCACGTCAGTAATTAATAATGATAATTTGATAATTACTAACGGAATGTAACTCGTATTTAATGTCTATAGAGTTTTAGAAACAGCACTTGCTCGGTCCACCAAGAATCTTCCCATAAACATTTCCTGTTTCCCATGTCCGGATGAGTTCAATCCACCAAGAATCTTTCCATGAAAAACATTTCCTGTTTCTCAGGTCCGGATGACCCTTCACCTGCTGCAGTACATGAGACTGGCCGAACCTCGAGACTCTCAGAGGCTCCTGGACCGATACTTCCTCTTCGGACTATCCATCTTCGCCTTTGTTTGGCTGGACCTCATGATACTGAACCTCATCTTGATTCCAATACGGAACAGTACGTGAGATATAAGAAGAAGAAGAAGAAGAAGAAGAAGAAGAAGAAGAAGAAGAAGAAGAAGAAGAAGAAGAAGAAGAAGAAGAAGAAGAAGAAGAAGAAGAAGAA